AGCCTTTACCAGCAGAACGTTCATTCGCAATTCACGGCAAATCAAACTCCTCGTTCGCGCTTACACCTACAGAGTTCCTGGAATAACTGCGTCCATTTTGGTCGTTTACTGTTATGCAACTCATAGACACAGCAAAAAATAGTAGAACGACGTTAGTCAGACGAGTTCCGCATCGATACAAGTTGTGTATTACGTCTGACCTGCTTTGCCGCCGCGCTGATTAAACTGCATCATACTCAATGAAACTACTGATCTCCAGAAAAGTTCAGATCCACGAACCAATTCAAAGTGTCCATTATAAATCTCCACGTTATTGGTCATGGAAAATTGTTAACTTGTCTTTTACCAAAAGTAACAGAAAGACTGTAATATACTCTCTTACGGAGGAATTGACTGATAAGATTATGAAGCATGCCTCTGCATTAAACCGTAAAAGGGTTAAATGGGGTTCCCACAGACAATCGTACTGCGAACGGTGGTATATGTATAAGGCGTTCTGGCAAAGACACGAACAATTTGTATTGCTGTTTGCTAACTTTTAGCTGTCAGATGTACCCAATCTCAAATTTGTAGAACCTTGAAATCCAGCTTCTGTCAATAATGCGAACTAATGTGACTGTTTATACAGTAAAATCCAGTTTCCTGGTTTGTCGGTTATCGTTACAGTCTGGCGATAATGAGACCAAAGTAGGGGATAACTAATCGTTTGCAGGTGCTTTCATGAGCAGTAAAGGAATCACCCCTCTGGCTGTTCTCGATGTTCTATTTAGCAGACAATAAGTATGATTTAATTGTCAAATACGAAGAAACGGTTGCCGTGTAACGGTTCACTAACGTTAAACTGCTTTTTGACTACAAGCATTGTTTGCACGCGTGCAAAAATATGGTGTCCAGCTATATAACCAAATATGTTGTGTTTGGTGTTCAAATGTCGACGTGTGACAGTTCGACCGTCGATTTCGACGATGTCCACCGTGTGCCCCACAGCTGCAGCAGCGGTGGGAGCAGGGACGGTGACTTACGCAGGTGTTTATAGTGCCAGTAGACTTGCGTAGCATCTACCTACACTCTCTCCTCCTACCCCGCCTGGGCCCGGTGTCAAGACAAAGTCAAGAAGACCGGAGACGAGGGAGGCCGCAGGTGGATGGCTCGGACGGATCCTCACCTTGGCGTTCCACCACACGCCCTGGTCCACACAACAATAACCAGGATTTGAACCAACACAACATAGATTTGGAGGCTGGCACGGCCGAAGCCGCACCTGGGCGTGCCGCCAACGCCTGGCTCGTATCCCACACTGTGGTGGGAATGCCATAAAGGCCACATTAAAAAGGAGCCATTGCAGCCTGACTCTCCGACCGCCTCCCGTTAAGGAGGAGGTCCAAGGTACACCGTTAGTTGGCAACCTTCCAAGCCACGGCTTTTAGCGCACCGTGATAGCTTCAAGCGCGTCAGATTGTTTATAGTGAGGAAAATGCGCTGAGTCGTCGACCTCACTCTCCCTTCCCATTCCCACACCCCAGCCGCTGTCCGAGCCGGTCAGCAGACTGGAGTGGGGAATGGGTGCGGTGGCTGTCGTGGTCGACTGACCGTGCCTGCGCGCGCCACAATACGACCTGGCCCCCCATACACACAAACACCAGGATTTCACACAACGGGGGTCGAACGGCGTGTCTCTCACATGCGTGAGAGGGCCGTGGAAGGTGCTGCTTCAGCCCGTCCCCAGCCCACCAGTCCGCCACTACACAACACACACACAACGTGACGAACTGCGTGAACCGAGAACGGGCGTCAATCAGCAACCTTCCTATCCACGACACTTGACGTGTCGGGATAGTCTCGGACTCAAGTCACCCGTGCATCCGAGGCCGCATGGGGACCGAGTCGAGATGCACACTTCCCACTTGCGTGGGAGGCGGCAGCTGAGTGCATGACGTGTGTGGGGGTTGATGTCTAGTGGGGTGATGGTGTTAGGAGGTAGGGAGTGAGGGAATGTGTGGTGCGACCGGCGGTTGTCTACCGCAGGTCGTTGTGGATGCGCATGTGGCCGAATAGACCCATGCGATGCGTGAAGGTGCGAGGGCAGTGTGGGCAGTGGAGGCGAGTGCGGTGGGTGTAGGTTGGTGCTCCAGGCACTGGTTCGCCAGTCTCTGTGCGATGGATTCGAAAGTGACCGACCAGGCCGATGCGTGAGGTGAAGGTGCGTGGACAATGTGGGCATGAGAGGTCGGCGGTGTCGGTGTCAGCTGTAGAGGAAGCAGTGGCGTTGGTGGTGGCGGTGGTGGTGGTCGGCGCGTGTGACGGTGGAGCGTGGATGGGTCTGGGCGTGGTGGATGTGTTGGATGTCGTGGCTGTATCGGAATTGCGGTCAATGCCGCTCTCGTGGATGCGCATGTGGCCGAATAAACCCATGCGATGCGTGAAGGTGCGAGTGCAGTGTGGGCAGTGGAGGCAAGTGCGGTGAGTGTAGGTTGGTGCTCCAGGCACTGGTTCGCCAGACTCTGTGCGATGGATTCGCAAGTGACCGACCAGGCCGATGCGTGAAGTGAAGGTGCGATCGCAGTGAGGGCAGATGTAGTCCGGGCCCTCACATCTGTTGATGGAGGTTGCAGGGGTTGTGCCTGTTGTTGTGTCAGGTGCGGCTGTGGTACAGTCGTGCGCTACAGACGCCGGAGTGGCCGTCGCTGTGGCAGTGAAGGAGGAGGTGGAGGAGGAAGGGGGGGAGTGAGGGGTGGTAAGGTCCGTGGCGTCGATGTCGGCTGGGGAGTGGTTAGTGGGTGCACAAGGTGATGGATTGGGAGTGGGGCTCGGCGGGGTGGGTGTGTCAAGGCTGCGGTCAATTCCGCTCTCGTGGATGCGCCTGTGGCCGAATAGGCCCATGCGATGCCGGTAGGTGCGAGGTCATTGTGGGCAGTGGAGGCGAGTGCGGTGGGTGTAGGTTGGTGTTCCAGGCACTGGTTCACCAGTCTCTGTGCGATGGATTCGCAAGTGACCGACCAGGCCGTTGTGTGAGGTGAAGGTGCGGTCGCAGTGAGGGCAGGTGGGGGTGGTTGCGGTTGTGTAAGAAGGCAGCCTGAACGGCCGCCGTTGGGGCAGTGGAGGGGAAGGAGGAGGATGGAAGTGGTGGTGCAGAAGGAGTGTCAGAGTTAGTTGGCGGAAGAGAGGACGAGGAAGAGGCGGGCGCGGGGACGATGGCTGGAGCAGTTCGAGATGTGCAGTTGGTTCGAAGATGTCCAACAAGTCCGATTCGTGCCCGGAATGTCCGTTGACATCGAGGACACGTAGGGAGAGGTTGTGCGGCGGCGTTGCGTATTGGGCGAAGTTGTGATTTGCGGACTTCGCGTTTCACTTTGGCGGCGACGATGCGGTTGGCTTCGTAGATAGCAGCGCCCGTCTTCACTGTTCTCCTCCATGTCGGACGATCGCGGGCGAGCTCTTCCCAGTTGGTCGGGTTGATGTGCAGGCGCTTCAGGGAGGACTTCAGAGTATCTTTCTAACGGCGAATTTGGCCTCCTTGACGACGAGAACCCGTCGCGACGTCTCCGTAGAAGAGTCGTTTGGGTAGTCGCTCGTCGTCCATGCGCACCAGATGGCCGCTCCAGCGCAGCTGCATTTGTCTCAACATGGAGTAGATGCTCAGAATTCCCGTCCGTTCCAGCACTTCGGTGTCGGGGATGCGGTCCTGCCAGTTCAGCCTCAGGATGCGGCGGAGACAACTGAGGTGGAAGTGGTTTAGTCGACGTGCCTGCCTCGTGTACACCGTCCAGGTCTGCGCTCCGTACAGTAGCGTCGGCAGGATGACGGCCTTGTACATCTTCAGCTTTGTGCTCAGTTGAAGACCATGACGATTCCAAACTGTGCTTTGGAGGCGACCGAAGGCTTGACTGGCTTTCGAGATCCTGTTGGCGACTTCGTCGTCGATCTTGGTGTTGCGGGAGAGCGTGCTGCCCAGGTACGGGAAGTTCTCTACCACTTGCAGTTGAGTCCCATTCACGTTGATTTGCGGCGCGTTGGGGGCTGTGGCTGAGTTGGGAGGCGGCTGATGCATCACCACCGTCTTCTGTGTGTTGATAACCAGCCCAAAGTTCTCGCAGGCGGCGGAGAATAGGTCCATGATCCGTTGCAGCTCCACTTCTGACGTGGTGTTCAGGGCGCAGTCGTCGGCGAAGAGGAGTTCGTGCACGGTGGCTGTGGATACACGCGATTGGAAATTCATGCGCCGGCGATTCAGGAGATGACCGTCCGTTCTATAGGCGATGCGTATTCCAGGGCGTTCGTCGCGGTAGGCATCCATCAGCATGGCAGAGAACATGAGACTGAAGAGGGTAGGCGCCAGCACACAGCCCTGCTTCACTCCGTTGGTCACTGCGAATGCCTCTGAGACAGCTCCGTTGTCCGTGACTCGCGCCATCATACCGTCGTGCAGCTGACGCACCATCTGAGTGAATCGCTCCGGACAGCCGAATTTCTGCATAATCTTCCACAGTCCTTCACGATTCACCGTGTCGAAGGCTTTCGTCAGGTCCACGAAGGTAGAGTACAGGTGGGTCCGCATCTCCTGGCACTTCTCCTGAAGTTGGCGGGCTGCGAAGATCATATCCGTGGTCCCACGATGACGACGGAAGCCGCATTGGCTTTCCGGCAGAAGGCCCTGTTCCAGATGGTTGTTGAGGCGGTTGAGCATGATGCGAGCGAAGATCTTCCCGGCGATGTTCAGTAGGGAGATGCCGCGGTGGTTTTCGCAGACTTGGCGATTCCCTTTGCGCTTGTATAGGTGCACGATAGTTGCGTCCTTGAAATCTTGTGGGACTTCACGTTGACGCCACATCTCCTGGAAGAGCGCAGTCAGGTGATCCATCAGTAGGGGACCTCCGTGCTTGTAGACCTCAGCAGGGATTGCGTCCGATCCGGGTGCTTTCCCGCTGGAGAGCTGCTGCACGGCCTTGATCGTTTCCTTGAGAGATGGCGGGAGGTCGAGGTCCGCGTTGGTCGCCACTTGCGGCAAGCGGGCGATGGCGGCGTCGGAGATGACGGAAGGGCGGTTGAGGACGCCTCGGAAGTGCTCGGCCCATCGCTGCGGGATTTGCGTCTTCTCAGTCAGGAGAGTGCTGCCGTCGGCGCTGAGGAGAGGAGCAGTGCCCTTCGTCGGCGGACCGTAGACAGCTTTGATCGCGGAGAAGAAGTTCTTCCATTCGTTGCGGTCCGCGTAGCCTTGGATCTCCTCAGCTTTGCGAGCAGTCCAGGCGTCCTGCATCTCTCGCAGTCGTTGCTGAAGCTGTCGGCGACTGCGGTAGAAGGCAGCTTTGTTGCCCTCAGTGGGGTGCTCTACGTAGGCTTTGTGTAGGCGGTTCTTCACGGCAAGCAGATTTCTGATGGCAGCGTCGTTGTCGTCGAACCAGTCCCGGTGTTGGCGGGGAGCGCGACCGAGGACGGCGAGCGCCGTCAACTGGACCGTGTCACGCAGTTGACACCAGCGGTTCTCCACGGAGGCGTTCTCGGCAGCGGCGGCGGCGTCGTCGGCGGCGGCAGCGATAGGAAGGTTTTCTAGCCGTTGAGCTAGCTCATTGCTGAAATGGAGACGGTGAGCAGACAAAGACAACAAAGCAACATTCAGCTTACCTTGTGGTCTCCTGCGAGGCTATAGGCGAACACGCATCTTCGAGATGACGAGGCGATGGTCGGTCCACCCGTCAGCACCCGCGATCGCCTTCGTCACCAGCACGTTCCGCTGATCTCGCCTCCGGACGAGGACATAGTCCAGCAGGTGCCACTGACGCGACCGAGGATGCCTCCAGGTGGCCTTCTCTCGCTCCGGCAGACAGAAGAAGGTATTCGTCAGGGTGAGGCGGTGTTCTGCGCAGGTGCGGACGAGAAGCAGGCCGTTGTCGTTGGAGCCGCGGAGACCGTGGGGACCCAGCACTCCCCTCCAGGCAGTATGGTATGTGCCGACGCGGGCGTTGAAGTCACCAAGGACAATCAACTTGTCCGCCTTCGACACAGTCGCCAAGAGGGCGTGCAGGTCCTCGTGGAAGTTGTCTCTGACGGCGTTGGGGTTGGTCATCGTCGGAGCGTAGGCGCTGATGATGGTGGCGAATATGCCTCCCCAGAGAGGCAGGCGGAGGTTCATCAGGCGATCGTTGATGCCCTGCGGCAAACAGGGCAGTCGTCCCACGATGTCGGTCCGGATGGCGAAGGCGACGCCCGCGTCTCGTCGCTCTGCCCTAGGTCGACCACTCCAGAAGAAGGTGTAACCGGCACCCACCTCCTCCAGTTGGCCTTGTTCGGAGAATCGGGTCTCGCTGAGTGCGGCGATGTCCACCTTGTAGCGCGCCAGTTCTCGTGCCACTAGCGCCGTCCTCCGTTCCGGTCGGTTGCTCCTCGGACTGTCTAAAAGGGAACGAACATTCCAGGCTGCCAGAGTGAGCGGGCTCACCCTGCCAGTCTGGGGAAAACGAGTGGGGCGATGGGAAGGAGGTGGAGAAGAAGATGACGGAGGAGAAGAATAGGCAGAAGAATAGACGGAGGTAGAGGTAGAAGAGGTAGGATGAGGAGAATGAGTATGGTTGTTGTCGTTGTTTCGAGTTTGATTGTTTCGATCGTGAGTTTTGCGTCTGTGACCACGGTGCGCCAGCAGACGACGTGGTTCCCCAGCAATTTTTAGGCCAGCTTTTCCAGGCCCCCCCGAAGGAAGCAGTGCCCTGACCCCTGAATAGGGGCTGCTTGATGTGCCGGCGCGGCCGAACTCCACTGTGGGCCACGAGTTTTTTTTTGCAGTTGAAGAACGACTCGACTTTGCCAATGGCTTACGGCATTGCCGCAAGCCTGCGGTCTCCTACGGTGCACCAGATGGGCGCGTGTCGACGGTGTCAATTCCGAGATCCATCCCACCGGCAGATCAACGGCGAACCAGGCGGAGCCTCGTCTCGACGATGCCGATGCGACGTTCCACCACCAACCGGCTGACCAGCGGTGTGTCAGACAGAGCCTCGTCACGACGTCGCGGACGCGGTGTTCCATCCGACCAACCGTCCACGGAGTCCGCAGTCACCTGTGCACGCGGCACAACGCGCACAGAGAGTAACCGCCCTCACCTGGTTTAGCCGGCCGGTCGAGACGGTTGCCCGGGGTGTGGCCGCTGAGCAGAGCCCAGCTACGTGGAGCCACAGGTGAGAGTTGAGTGCCAGCAAGTGGACGCTAGGCGTAGTCTCACCTGCAAGCAAGTGAGCGACCACTACGACCTTCACGTGAACCCACCGCTGACACCCCTACACCCCTGTTGACGTGTAGATTAAAGAAGGCCAACATACTTGACCTTCCGTACATTAAAAAATCGTCAGTATTTGTGCTGAAAGGTAGAATAAGGTAGTCACAGGCAGCATAATATATTACAACAACTACAAAGACCGGGTTACATGATTAATAAAGGAATTAGAAGCTCACTAAAAAAGTTAATTTATTAAACTTCGAAACGTCGTATAGAGCCAATAAAAACAGCAAAATCACCATTGCACGCATTTACTCCATGGTCGGGTTATATTCATGGGATCTGTTGTGACGGCAGTTTACTTAAAATGCCAGTCTTTCAAAAATAACAGCTTAGCATGCTAGTGAAGAAGCAACATTTTTGTTAATTAATGTAATACGATCTCGTTTGGCGCAGCAAATGAAACGGAGATTTATGCTGCTGCGTTTCTATCTTGCACGCCACACCTTCAACAAAAATAACTCTGAAGCTGTTCTTAAAGTACAATATTCGTCATCGATGACGTTCTGGATGTTCTTAATGCGCCTCACACGGAATGGTCCATCTTCCATAACTCATGGAGTGTTAAATTTGATTTCGACCAACAAGCCTGTTGTTATTCGAAATCTCACAGACACATGGCCATGCATTTCCCAATGACATACACAAATCAACAACAGGCGCTGACTTAACTGTCCTCAAATTACTTTTTGAAATAAACCTATCGCCTCTCCGTAGAAAAACGCTGTTGAAAACTAATCGCGTATACAATGCATAACGTTCACATTGTAAGTAAAAACGAGTGCCTATCTTATTTTACGTCCAAATTAAGCCGGTTTCACCACATGTACGTAGGAAAAAATACAACATTTCAAATAATCAGTCGAAGTTAGATTATGCGCCTTACATTTTACCTGCGGCTATAGCAAATCAGCATTATAGTTAGACATTAATCCAAGAGGGCGTAGACATGCTTTGTGTGATCCACAGGCGCGGAATCAAGTCAGTAGCCCACACAATAATCGAATACTTTTCATTATGGATATTCTGAAGTATCGCGACGAGATTGCGGAGCAGTGACTTACGCCTTGTAGCCGAGAGTGTTACTCTGTGTTTCAGTGTTGCATTGTTATTACCCTGACTCTGATGTGCTCGATAAAAGGGCTGCGTATTGTGTTCAAAGTAGAAGAAAAAATAAAAACGTATATTAAGTATGGCTAACAGGACGTACCCTTTCTTGTAAAGTAGATAACTATACGGTGTCAACAAGGTGCACGTCAACTTGAGGAGGTACTGTTCGTTTGGCAACGTTGGAAACACTGTGTTTTCGAATTGTTCGTACCTATAGCATTCAAAAGAAAGTAAATATTTTTCCACCTGAATTTTCTCACAAAGTTTACAGAAATGTAAATATGAAAATCTTTTACGCCACTTGGCGTCAACACTAGATAGCTGCACTAGTAATTGGCAGTAAGTTGGCGGTTGAAGATGTTTTCTGTGTTTTTTCTATATCCCCTCAGCTTAAAGCGGTAAGCGATAAGGTTTAACGTTGGGTTTTTGGTATTCAACAACGTCGAAGTATAAAATACACATATTTCGTGGCGATTAGATTACGATTCCATGGAAAGACTTTCGGCCTACTCAGTTCGTTTTTTTAGGATATTCCCTATTTTTATAGCTTAAGTTATTTCATGGGCCCTCGGAAAGCGTTAAGCGTGAGTGTATGCCAATGACAAGCATTCGAGATTTCCGGGGATTACTCAATTAAAGCGTTCATATCGGATGCCCATCGATGTTACCTGTTCCTGAACAGCGAATACGCGAACTGGTTTTCGGTAGTGGCAAAGTGCAAAAGGCAGCAAACGTGTTATTTGAGTCGTAACAGCACATTTGCAAACGACGCACGAAATATTGACATTTCTCGCCGGTTGTATCACCAGATGTCGGTAGTCGAGAAACGGAGCTAATATGTGTGTTAAATGGAAACCTAGCCTTCGCAAATTGCGAACCTGCTATTTCTGATCTGTTTGCATACTTGTGGAAGAAATCTGCGTAGACGGATTTAACTCGAGTAGGAATACAGACGTGTTTCCATTATGTATTTCAAAGTACTACGGTCTGCCAGATGACTCAGTTGTAAATTAAAAATCGATTTCTGCAAACCTGTTTTGAGTCTTTTGCATAATGGTTGGATGAGCAGCCGTCAATAAAATAATTAAAAACCTTTGATGCCGAAAGTGACTTATTCGATTTTGTGTAAAAATTCTACTTGTCTGATGCTTCCCACATAACAGATAGGTATTAGATGATTATTGATGGTTTCCCAGAATATGGTGAAATAAGCAGACTATTTCGATGTTGTCTATGACAGGAATTTCAGCTTCTTTTGTCATTCTTTGGCCATAACCTTTGCTTAGAACTTGTGGCATTCCCAAAAACGTCCGCCAAACTCCGTTGTGTGGCATTTACTCACGCGTCTGCAAATTGGCAGCCGGCATGCGAAAGTATAAAAAAGAGGGAATTAGGCGTTTTGAAGACAATGAGATTTTCGTTTGAGGGAGTTCAGGAAATATGGACCACAATATCATAATTACAGATAATCCATGCTTCAATAAGCTTTCATGTAAAATGTATCTCTAACCGTTAGCAGCCGATATAGCTAGGCAACGTTTTTCGCTAACTGGAGCAAAACACCCTGTGGGTAGGCCGAATCTGAACGTTAGGAAAAGTACACATTTTTATTTCAGGCTACAGAGGTTTATCACTTGCAGAAGAAGATTAATAAAAGTTAAGGGGCTTCATAATTACATTTGGGATTGTCAGAAATTACGAGGTGATGCGGAAGTTGGTGTTCAAATTGTTTGCAGGAATCAAGAGAAAGGCAGGTTGATCACAGGGCTCATGCGTCAATTTTTAGGTTTTGCGACTCGCAAAATTTCATCTTTATGGATAGCAACATCAGCAGAACGACTGCGAATTACTGAGTCGTAGCCCATAATTGATCAGCGATGAGGGTCTTGACGTGAGAACGGAGGGCTGCGCATGCTGACACAAGTTCGATACGACGATTAGCTGAGTTATTATCCGATCCCCAATTTCCAACCAAATCCGGAATTGTGTTGCTTCTGCCTAGGACTGTTATCTTGGTGGCCCAGAAGTTACACTTAAGGATTGTTTCGAAGTTGTGGGCAGCCACTTATAGGAAGCCACGACCCTGTCACAAAGTCGATTTGTGTTCATACAACTGCGATCATAATACGTGTTAATTCCGCCCTGCATAGACACAATGACAGGTTGGGCACCTGGTGCAATATTTTTCCGGAATTCTCCTAGGCATGTAGTCGGTCCCTGATTTTCATAACCTTGTTACAAATGGTGACTACGGAGCAGGGATTCAATTTAACACCTATGTCCGCAGCAATGTGCACGGTCAATTCTGAAAGGCCTTTCATGTACGCAGAGCTGCAATATCCCTGACGATGGCACTGTTTGGATCCTCCAGTCTTGAATACGTGTAAAGTGGATTTTTTTGCGCACGTAGGTAAACATCCCGCATAAAGAGATCCCTGAGACACTGGGCCACGCGTAGTTTTCTCTTCTTCTTCTTCTTCTTCTTCTTTTTAATCTGATTGCATTTAAAGAATATCGTCATACAGCTCCGCTTGCGAGTCGCTGAATGGTAATTTGGCCGATATTTTTAGAAACATGGTAAAAATTGCGCCAAAATAGAGCCTTTATTTACAAATGCATCCATATCATTGTTTCCTAATACTCTATTGTAGCAGCCAAATTAAAATGCACAGTTAAAACTTTGATACCGCGGCGGCATTTACCAAACTGAAGAAATTAATTAACAAGGATCGTATAACCTGTTGTGATAACCTTTCACTAATTGTGTTTATTTCTGAACTAGAAGTTTTATTGTAAGCTATACCGTAACGGTTTGCTTAGCTGTTGCACAAATGCTCATCGATGCCTTCGTGATTTATTTCAATTAATATCTTAGATTCTCATAGATCAACATTTACGTGATTAGATCAGAAGCTCGTGTCTACAAACCTTCGACAAACGTTTTTACAGATAACTTGTTGGAAACTGTTGCGCATAATAATTTGTTTAATATTTTTAATCGGAAAATCAGTACACGTTTCAACTTACTGCTCTATGGAATCGCTAAAGCGTCCTTTTATTGGGTGTGCTAATTTTAGCTGCAGGATCAACAACAATTTTACTTGAAAATACTCGTCGAACTGGCGATGTAATTATGATTCATAAAATCGAAATGATTACCGAAAGTGGACAAATTGAAAGCTCGTTGTTATGACTTGGTTCCACACACTGTGCTACTTGCAATCTTGTCGAGGACAGTTACAACGTTTACTGCAAGCCGAACGACCTGAGTCTATTATAGTCCTCATTTTGCCCCAAAAAACAAGCTATGCGGTATATTTGATGAATCATCCAGGTGGCCAGAGCGGACTACACGTCACTGCTTGTCTCCGATCTCCTTAACTTTGTCTTTTCCTAGGGACCGAATGGCGGAGAAGGAGAGAGTATGGCTGGTATAATGCAATGTAACTGTCAACGTAAACATATTCGCGCAAACGTTACTGTCCCAGCTGTCAGTCTGTGGGGAAGCACACTGTGTACATTATCGGCAACGACGTCCGAATTATGGCTCTAAAACTAGAAATTTTGTTGCCGCCTTTCTGCCTCCACAGTCATTAGTTTGGCAGACCGAGGTTTTATGTAACGGGTGTTTTCCTTACGTATA